AAGGGGAATTTTGGTAGTGATTGTTGTTGGCGGCGCCGTCGCCGATGTAGGGTAGTAGGTAGCTTGAAGCCTCGGAGAGACAAAAAAAGAAAACTGTTGTTTTTTAGTTTTGTTTGTGTAGTTTGTGAATTACTTGGAAAGAGGCCTATTTACATATAAAAGGGCAAAATCATCCATACATTGACGGAGATGACGATGAAGGATCAATTTGGTTGAAGAAGACGAAGTTTTGTTTTCTTTTATTTTTTAAGAATATATATAATGTATAGACGATTTTACCATTTCCTATTTTGTTAGAAAATAGTTAAAATTTATTTTGGTGGTCAACTAACGACATTTCGGATGAAAACTGTCCAAAAGAGCCTAACATGCAACGGTTGAAAATGTCAGGGGTGACAACTGCAAAATTTGAAATGTTTTGGGAAAGTCTGCTATAATGTTTCAAAGGTTTGGAGCTTTTGCTACAATTATCCCTAAATTATTTATTAGTTCCCCTACTCAATTAACTAGTCACAACCACTCTTAATTTCATCTCATCCCACTCTAACGTCGGCACAATCAAAATCATCGTCGCCACCTCAAATTCATAACCCTCATCATCATCTCAAATCCAAAACCACCTCAAATTCACCATAGCCTTTCGCGCTAAGCATTGAAAAGAGGTGCTTATATATCGAAGGTGCTAAAACCCAAAACTAGGCAAAATTTCACCTTTTTTAGCGCCAGTTTGATTCTCATTTTTTGCCCAAAATGCAGTTTTAAATAGTATTTTGTTGGAGAATGTGTGATTAAAAAATAAAAATTAAAAAATTTTGGATTTACGTATAATATTATTTTATTGAAAAATGTGTGGTTGAAACTTAATAATAAATAGAGAAAAATATATTTTGAAAATAATGGGCACCCAACAAGGGCTTGGTTAGAGATAGTAATGCTAGGAGCATCTCCTCCACCTTAAACCAATCACCACCACCTTTGATAACCATTGCTCTTTCCGTTGGAATTGGATCCAACAATGAATTACCTAACACCGATATCACTGACAATATCGCTAGTCATACCAACAGAAAGGCCAATGAGGCCACAAGAGACCGAAAGAAACTTGCTCTATCTTGCAGAAATTCCGTTACATCACCGACAACACCGATGCTCCACCAACAGAGTACAATTCATAATAGATATCATGTCTCATAGTGGTTAGATATGAATATAAATTTAAGCAATCTTATCACATGGAATGTGATTTTTATGAGAAACAGTAGCTAAGATATCTTCAATCTTTTCTTTTTCCTTTTTTTTTCTATGTGCAACAATCATTACGAAAATCGTTTTGTTTCTTCTCGTTCGATTTCACATCCTTTTCGGAAACCACGAAGCATAAAGTATGGAAGAAGAAGGTGTTGAATCGGACGAGAGGCTAAGGCCGAGCCATGTATAAAGAGCTAACAAGGTGAATCGAAAATTAAGTCACCATTCTTATACATGACCAATTCGGTCCGTTTATTCTTGAACTAAACTTGAAAGATAGAAATCAACATTTTGTTGCACACGAGTCCATAATAGAAAGCTAGTTTGATACGTTAAATCAGATAGGATTAGACATAATAAAGAAGAACAACGCGTAAAATGTTTATTAGATACTGTGTCGTGTCCATCGTCCATCTTACAAATGTGCCTAAATGTTATTTCAGCATTGGTCAAAGAAGATGAACTATCTGTACCACAAATGTGGCAAACGTTGAGTAATTGTGTAAACCACAAATTGTGAAAAGACCGGGCGGGCCATATAGACCTACACCATTTTTATTTATGTAGTAAAAAAAAAAAATTTTACTCCTAAATTTGGAATAGAATTTTATTTTTTTTCTAAGTCGCAACAACAAGAAAAGACGTATTCGCCTTCCCAAAGAATTAGTGATAAAATTTGACAATCCAAAATAATAATTGAACTTTTTATTTTGAGAGAACTCAAACTTGAGTTTCTCCCATGAGTTTGTGGAGTATATATATTTTCAGCCGGCAGCACTTCATTGAAGGGTCACCAAATCTTGTTAGATATTTTAATTTTGGACCAACTTATTTAGGATTATTAACATTGAAATTCGTCTAAAAAACTTCAATTTAGAAAATAACCTAAATCATGTACAAAGATGTACGAAGCAAACATGAGAGAGACAACTAGACTCTAGGAAGTGAGATATGAAATTCTTAGATTCCTGAACAAAAGTTTAATGTCCGCCCAAATTATGTTGACCTCGTGTATAGTTTGGGTCATGTCTTGATGATGAGTGTAGGTGGGATCCAGACCAAAATATTGACTTGTAATTTGGATCAATTTGGTACCGACGTAGGGGTGGAAGGGGTTTGAACCTACCCTACTCGTGTCTACAAATTAGGCTGGTAGACGTCATGGGTCGAGTCAGCCGTCCACGAGCTCTAAGTCGACTCATTTTTTCAAAAGAAATTAATAAAACAAGTAAAAAATGAGTCGACTCGTGAAGAAAGAGAGAGAGAGAGAGAATGCTGATTAACTCAACTCAACTCTTGAGTCATGACTCATCTCAAAATAAGTTCGAATTATTCATGGACGTCCTAGTCGGGACTAGCCAAGACCGCGAGCCGTCCGACCTACTGCCACTTCTATACCAACATGGTAACATTGACTGTATACATAAAATGAAGACTTGCAGATCTTAGTAACTTGTAAAAAATTTTAAAACATAAAAAATTGCTTTAAATTTAGGTCGTGTTACTATTGTGGTGTAACAAATTAGACCACAAAATATTGTGTAACAAATTAGTCAAGCATATCTATGCCCCTGTTTGTCTACCATTTTTCAAAAAATTGTTTTCTACAGTAATCAATCTTTTCCACACATTCAAATAATAAAATATTCTACACATAAACCGATAAAGTTTCTTTAAATTTCAACCACACATTTTTCAAAAAATACTATTCATTACACCATTTTCTTCTCAATAATGATTGACAAACAAGCACTATATCTAGTATGCAATATTAATACGACTAAAACTTATTAATAATACTATAAGCCGTAATACATTTTTCGTTGTTTGAATTCTTCACATTTATTCGTAGAGACCCTGTAAATTATCTCATTAAGAGATTTATTTTGCACGACAGTTTCTTCGTCTTATGATTCGAGCCTTTTCTTAAAAAAAAAAAAAAGAAAAAACCCTCATACTTGTACTTAAAAGGAGCATTTGGGGTTCTCCTATCAAATTTTTTGACATTTGAGTCACAACTTTAATTTTTGCAACATTTTGAGGTCCCTACTCGTTGATTCCGTCCAAAACTTTGTTAATTGATAATCTCCACCTCACGTGGTGAAGAACGTTTGATAAAATAATGAGTACGCTCTTCTTTTAAATTAAATAAAACATGAAAAATGAATTTTAAAATATTACAAAATGTTTTTTTCTTATAATTTAATTGTGAGCAACCACATTAATCTTGTTTTAGTCACCCTAGAACTAGATTGCTATTATAAAAAATATGGAATAAATACAATATTCTTCTTCCTCCACTATCACTTTCCCCTAGTCCAGCCCCACTTCTAGACGACTAGACCTTTAAGCTACAGGAGTGTGTCAAATCGTAGAGTATAGACAAGAATCAAAGACTTGAAGCCACACGCATATGTCATAATTATTTGCCCGTGACAATTGATTTAGAGTTGGCCAACTAGAAAAAGGCTGAATGTACAGTCTTTTTACACAATATGTTTGACAGTCCTCTCACATGGGTGTGGAGTCAGCGATTGTGGGCCCCACTCTCATGTGAGAGGGTTGTCAAAATGCATGTGTAAAAAGGTTGTAAGTGTAACATTTTTCGACTGACTAAAAGATATGATTGACGAAAACAAAGTGATCATACCCCTTAGTTTTATAATTAGTTGTTCATTAAATAATCAAACTCCTTTTTCCTTTTGATTTAGCCTAGTCAAGGGTACCACTCAAGGTTAGTGTAAAGAAATTTCGGTGCAAGAGAGGGTAATCGCAGATCAGAAGGCAAGGGCAAGGGAGTATCAACGTGGGATTTGCAATACAAATGAAGAAAAATAAAAAAAACGAAGAGCTACAGACGACAACAAAAAGTGTTAGTACATTACATTCTTAAAATAGTATGTCACGTGAGTCATGTGTAACATTTTAAGAGATCAATTAAATCAAATTTTTGATTGAAAATTCGTATACGAAAAAATCAAAATCAGAGAGAGAGAGAGAGACCCGAAGGCTTAAAAAACGTGCTTTTTTTTTTTCCTTATCAAGGTGACTGAAAAAATAAATTAATTTTTTGAACAACAAAAGTTGGCGACAATATTTGAAACGGGAAGTAGACATGCGGGCGCAAAAAGCTCTATACGCACAGTCCCAAATTGTCTCACTTTATCTTTTCTTTCAAAATCACTGTCTGAACCCAAGAAACCGTCATCTTCTTTGCTTATATTCATTTTTCACACGTCCTTTTTTTACTACCCTACCTAAACCCTACGTGCCCAAATTCCCCAGCAAATACTCTAGAACACGTGTTGAATTTTGTGAACCTCGTGGGGGTATCGTAATTAATAAAGTAATTTTTCCACTTCAAACATTGCTGTCATGTGATCCTCCTTCCCAATCAAGAAAATCATTTTCAAACATTTCTGTTATGCGATCCTTCCCAATCAAGTATCTTTTTCACACACCAACCAAGAATATATATATATATATATAAAAGTTATTAATATACAATCCCCGCCCCGCACGTCTAACATTTTAAGAATTCTTCGAGAATTAGAATAGATTCGCTGCTTCAATCGCTACAAAATAGATTTCAATCACTTATTTTGCTAATACTACAAAAATTAGCTCCATGTCCCTAGTACTATAGCATAGTCTTTTACTGGGTTCGTAGAGTCAGGTTTCTTGATCCACCCATACGGCGGGGATAACAGATTGGTTTCTTGTCGACAACCCTAATTTTCTTAATTATATCTATGGATCATCAAGATGATTCATCACCTTCTTCATTCCATGAAGTTCTGGCAGTAAACCCTAATATTCCATCGGCACATAAGAAAAGAGGTGGGAAGAAGACATTTAAGGAGACGCGCCACCCCGTGTACAGAGGAGTACGGCGGAGGAACCGCGCCAAATGGGTGTGTGAAGTTCGTGAACCGAACAAGAAATCAAGAATATGGCTAGGGACGTTCGCCACCCCAGAAATGGCAGCTAGGGCACACGATGTGGCCGCGTTGGCCCTGCGCGGTGGTGGCGCTGTCCTGAACTTCAATGACTCCGCCTGGTGCCTCCCCAGGGCCAAATCTTCATCCAATGAAGATATTCAAATTGCTGCTCTTCAAGCTGCTAATAATTATGCAACACCATCAATGGAATTATCCCCTTGTTCTTCCTCTAACTCTCTGAATTCGACGATTATTTCGAGCGAAAATCTTGAAATAAAACCTCTGAATTTACTGAATGTCGAAAACGAGTTCTTGGACGAGGAGGCAATGTTTAACATGCCAAGTTTGTTAGACAGCATGGCAGAGGGGATGCTTTTAACTCCACCAGCTATGAAGAATGGATTTAGCTGGAGCAATGAGGATGAAAATTATAGCGAGTTCACTTTGTGGTGTGATTAACGAAATCATTCCACCGGGCCAAACTCCCAAGGTATTGTTCGGAATACCTCACTAGCAGCGACGAAGATATGGGCAACCCCATGTTTTAATTTTTCATTAAAAAATTTCTTCTATAAATTAGTCCGTTGCAAAAAAATAAAATAAATTGCTCTTCCATGACTCCGCCTATGCTCTCGAGTTGTCATTTATAATGCATCGGTAGAAAGATTGAATGATGTTGCAACTATGTTTGGATCTATAAAAAGAATTAGATAGAATAACTTCACCTCGACGTGACATGAGCGTGAAAGGAGTTCAAGAACACATTCATACACGTAAAAAAAAATATTTTCGTTCTCATTCTTCTACCCATTTTCAACCATACATTCTTCAATAAAATAATATTTTTCATCACATCAATAACTTTTCCTTCTTTTTCAACCACAAATTCTTCATCAATTTACTATTCCAGAATACATTCTTCCAAAATAATGTGGCTTAAACACACCCTAAAACTAGCTTGGTAGAAAAGCGTGTATTATTGCATTGCATGTTATATCCATTTCGTGTTCAATTTAATCACATGTCAAAGGTAGAAAATTAATGTGTTACCATTTCAATGCCTTCCCATATTTACGTGAGAAAAAACAAGAGTTTGATAAGTTGTATTGTTAATGTGGCACACCAATTACAATTTTTTGGTAATATTAAAAACATAAATAATTTAACAAGTTCAATAACACAAAGAAAATTTCGGCAATAAATAAATTAATAAAGGTTAATTGGCGCAAAACGTCCCTATCTATGACAGGTTTTGTGGAAAACATCCCTACGTTTGACTTTTTGGTGCAGAACGTCCCTACCTTTGCATTTTCTTGCGCAAAACGTCCTTCCGTCCAACTCCCGTTAGAATCCACCGTTAAATAAAAGGGTAATTGGCGCAAAACGTCCCTACCTATGATGGGTCTTGTGGAAAACGTCCCTACGTTTAATAACCAATATATCCTCCTATATAAATAAAACAAAAAAGAAAATAAAAGAAAAATAAAGAATAAATTACAATCTGCTCCTAAACTTTTTTAAAAATGCAAATCAGTCCAAAACTTATGAAAATATTAAAAATAACAAAAATACACCCTCTCTCTCCCCCTCCTCCACCTCCACCTCCACCTCCCTGCACCTCCCTGCACCCTCTTCTCCACCGTCACAAATGCGTCCAAATTCCGGTAGCCTCCGGCCACCCAAGATGCCGGACGTTGACACTGGTCAACAATCCGCCAATTCCCCTTCAATTACCACCAATAATCGACCATAAGTCCAGCAGGTTTGGCCGAAATTACAACTGAAAACCAACCATTCACGCATCAAAAAACTACCGGCACAACCCATTTCAGCGACAACCAAGCCATGCCCAACATACTGGTCGACTTTACTCATAGGGATGCACCTATTCATGATCTTCAAATATCAAAAAATGCAACAAATCAACACCTAAAATCTACCTTTTCGAACCCAGTAAAAATGCAGATTTCAAACCTCTTTTTCGACGCCGTTGGTCGGTCCCACGATCGTGGACCACCCACTCTGGTACCCTCTCACTCTGGAGCATCGAATGCAAGCATGGGTCACCACCAATTTGGTCTTTATTCGGCAAATCAAATTGAGGCAGTCCGCACGCAGTGCATCTCCGACGACCCTCAATCAATTGATGAATCTCCACTGCTGCAATTGACTAATTCTACCAAGAAATCTCCAATTCATGCTTGACCATGGGTACCAATTCATGCTTGACCATGGGTACTGATTTAATTGCACCAAATCACCATTTGAATGAGCCAATTTATCATCAGCAGATGGAAAAGATTTTCTTGAAAAATGCTTTGTGAAGGACCAAAGTAAGAGATGGACGGCTGAATTCACATACATATACACGCCTTAATTCTCCAACCCAAAAGGTTCATCAATTAACCCTAAAAAATCCATTCAAACCTCCAAAGAGCCAATAGAAAGCAAAGAGAAAAAAGATCAAGAAACATTCCAAAATATGAATATTTGAAAAGTCTGTACTTTATAATCTCTCCCTCTCTCTTTATATATGTATATTTTGTGTATGTATATATGTTCTACTTTCTTTGTGTAATTACTGTCGTGTGTGTTTCTTCTCAACCAGAGGTACAAAATCTAAGATAATATTGGAGAAGATGGTGGAGGGAGGTGGATGAGGAGAGAGAGTGTGTGTGTGTTTTTGTTATTTTTAATATTTTCATAAATTTTGAATTGATTTGTATTTTTAAAAAAGTTTAGGAGCATATTGCAATTTATTATTTACTTTTCTTTTTTGTTTTATTTATATAAGAGGGTATAATGGTCATTTTATGTTAAAAATTGGTGAAAATGATGTTTTGCGTAAGAAAATGCAAAGGTAGGGACGTTCTGCACCAAAAAATCAAACGTAGGGACGTTTTCCACAAAACCCGTCATAGGTAGGGACGTTTTGCGCCAATTACCCTTTCTTTTATATTGTGATTCATTCTGACATTAGTTATTTCACACCGAAATCGATTTTAGACATTCAAACTAAATAAAAGCAGACTGCAATATATTCACATAAAACATAGACATAGGCATACTGATATGGTCCCTGACGGCCACCAAACGTCATCTAATGCAGATTTAAAATCACAATATAATTTGATTTTATCATTTCTTTTCCAATATTGCCCAAATAATCCAAAATTACAAGTTCTACACTCCNATCTATAATTGTTGACAACATCTCTAATAATATTGTCATCAGTAATTGCTGACGAAAACGTAATCGTGACAGCCAATTATTAACTATAATCTATAATTGTTGACAACATCTCTAATAATATTGTCATCAGTAATTGCTGGCGAAGATGTATCAGTGACCAACAACGGTATTGATGTCAATTACTTAGTTTGAATAATCAACACGTGTTGATTTTAATCGTAATTATCAATAATCATTTTGTCGATAATCACTAACAGCTTTTCTTCGGTGACTAACGCATCATCGTTATTACCCTTGATAATCGTTGTTGACGGTGTATTGATTATTATCGACGATATCATTAACGGCAATTCTACTAATTATTAATAATTTAAATATTGCATTAGATAAATTTCATGATCCCACTACGATCCTATGAACTCGTGATTTTTTATCCAATCCGAATCATTTTATCATTTGGAATCATAGAATCTTGTAATCGTACTGCTTAGTTGCAAGAACAATCTTATTTTTCATTATTTTCTTGACTCCAAGTTCACTTTCTAGAGTCCAAATATTTTTTATCAGATTCTTTATCAAATTTGAGAATGCCTACTTATTTGAGAGTGGAAATTTCAAGAAGGTTAGTTGTAATTGTTTGAAGCTCGTATAATAGAAGATTGATGGTTGATAAATTATCCAAACCAACTATCCGGAATTACTTGGCTTCTGAATGTTGTGGACGAGTTCGGGGGAACATAATGGTGTTGAAGCCTTGAAGGGGGCCAATTAATGGAATCATCTGCAATGCTATTGTCCATGAAGGGAGCTACTTTGGCTGTTTGTTTTCGGCTGGAAAGGTAAGTGATAAGTATAGTTTTTATACTTATTTGTGGCACTAAATCATAATATTTTATTGTCTTTAATTTAGGATAAATTGTATTTTGTAGGTAAAACTTTATATTTAATGAAGAATTGAAGAAAATAATGCAAAATAGCTGAAAAATGACAAAATTCATAGTACGAGAACTTGTAAGCAAACAATTAATTGGGGCTCAATTCGGAATTTTAATTGGATACAAAATTTGGCTACTTGAAATTAAATATATAGACAAAGATAATATTGGGTTGAAATTTAGAAAAGAGACTCATTTGCTTTGATATAATATATATAAGGGAACAATATATAAATAAGGTATTTAAATATCACAATTTCAAAATTAAGGATAGAGATTTTAAATTTCAAAAATCATGTTTTTATTAAAATTTATTTATGATTTAATTAATTTAATATATTAAGGTCACAGATCTATACAATTTGGTCACAAATTAACCAATTAATTAGTCACATATTATTTTTTGATCACAAATCAGAATTTTTATATCACAAATTATTTTACGATCACAATTCAAAAAATTTATAGGTCATAGTTTGTTCATCGGTCACAAATTAAAAATTTAACAGTCATAATTTATTTATCGATCACAAATCTATCAAATTAATAAGTTACATATTATTTTTTAGGTTACATATTATTTATTGGTCACAATATCAATTTATCAGTTACAAATCACAAATGTTAAAGTCACAATTCAAATTTTTAGGTCACATATTATTTATTGATCACAAAATATACAATTTATTGGTCACAATCGCAAATAATTGGTCACAAACACCCCCATCCCATGTTCATCTCACGTACAACCAACGCACCACCGCCATGACCACCACTATCATCACCAACCGCCACCGCCACCACTAGCAACTCCACCTACACCATCAACAAAAATCAACCCAAAACCCCCAACACCAACAAAATATGGAAACAACCGCCACCACTCCACAACAAAAATCAAAACCAACACCTCACCACCACAACCAGATCCACCACCACCTGTAACACCACCGTCACAACCTGTACCACCACTCCCGCGACACATCATCGCAAAAACATCACAACAGCACCAATAACCAGCAAAATGTCTCCCCACCGCCAAGGTCCCTGGAGACCTTACCACCACCATCCTCACCGTCGTCGTCGACGCAGCCAGACCCGCCACCGCCATATCCAATACCAAAATCACAAGCATCACCGATCTACTCACCCCACCACCACCGTCCAATCACCTCACCACCCAAGCGAGATAGTCACCATGACCGAAGCTAACACTACCAAGGCTGTGACGTTCCATTTCCGTTGTCTAACTCGACACCAAAACCATAAACACCACCTATCTACTCTCCCCGCCACCAGTTTTCTCCCCACCACCACCTGTCCAGTCACCT